ATATTTGATGTGGATCTCATTTGAAAACGCATTGTGAATTTCTCCCCTCTAGTATGAGGAACAACCATAACCTGGGTTAGAATTTGTAATAACCCTGGTGGCATAATTAGAGCCACAGTGGTTTGGCTTGGCCTAGATCAGCAGACAACAATCCCAGGGGTTCAGCTTCAGCAATAGTAGTGATAGTGCACATGGTCCCTGGGCAACGAGAGCATGGCCTGGTCAGGGCATGTCTTCAGATGGCTCAGGTTTCAGAAGGTAATGCATCAAGCACCTTAGTCAACAATGCATCGGGAGCACATTCTGGAGTTACAGCATCAGGATGGCTCTGTGGAATCTTCTAGCTTCAAGGAGGCACATTGAATTTGGGGCTAGCTAAGAAAAAGTAATAGCTAGAAGGACAAACATTTGGACATGAATCAGCACTCCTGAGGCTTCTTAAATATACTTGGAGAGTAAAACTCAAAAAAATAAAATAAAAGACTGGACTTCCGGTAGGCATGCATGCCACACTAAATTGTGTAGTAAAAGAAAGTGTGACTGCCCTGGCCGGTTTGGCTCAGCGGTTAGGGCGTCAGCCTGCGGTCCAGAGAGAACCGGGTTCGGTTCCCGCTAAGGGCGCGTACCTCGGTTGCAGTTTGTCCCCGGCCCTGGTTGGTTGTGCGGGTGGCAGCCACTCGATGTGGTCCTTTCACATCGATGTTTCTCTCTCTCTCTCTGTTCCTCTCTCTCCCTCCCACTCTACCTGAACAAAAAATGGAAAAATGTCCTCAGGTGAGGATAAAAAAAAAAAAAAGAAGAAAGTGTGACTGCTAAGGATCATATGAGGACATGATTTTCTAGGTCACTCTGAATACTTCTTTTCCTCTGCTGGATCCTTTTCCTCCTTGAGCTATCAATCAGTAATATGTTTTTGCTCATTTGTATTCTTTTCTTGGAGACCTCATCCTGCAATTTCAATGACTTACTGGACATTTTTACACATACATTTATCTCAAACTCAATTTTCCTAAAAGCCACCTCAACAAGGAATGCTTACAAATCAATAAGGGGGAAAAAAGAGAAAACAAAGGACATAAACAGGCAATTCACCAGTTGCCAACAAACATATGAAAAGATGCTCAATCTCATTAGGCATTTTTATAATAACACTGAAAAATCATGTTTTGCCTGTCATATTGATAAATGTTTCCAAGACCAAGGGTTCTACTGTCATAACCTAGATCAAAATTTTTTTAAAAAAAATGTGATCCCAGTGTTTCTGAGCTCAGTACCAGCTTCCTTTTTCCACTGGAAACTCTTCCTCTAGGTGAATGATTTCAGTTATCTTCACAAAAGGAACAAATGAAAGTCTTCTGACATTTCAAAACACTAAGAAAACAAAGGGGTCCAACAGATTCAACTGATTTCTTCTAAGTGTTCATTCATTCACTCACTCCTAAGAACAGCAAAGGATATGGGTGAAAAGACAAAGTCTTACAAACCACTCATCTGACTGTTTTTACTTGCTACTTTGATGCCTTTGGCGCTTTCAAGTGTCTTGTAACCCTAATCAGAATCTAAGCTTGGGAGTGGCGGGAGATGGAGGGAGCCAGGAACCATGTTATATTTCTTTGACTTCCCCTACAGTATATCTCAGTTGTGAGACAGCCCTGGCTGGTTTGGCTCAGTGGTTGGAGTGTTGGCCTGAGGACCAGAGAGTCCTGGGTTTGGTTCCTGCTAGGTGCATGTACCAAAAAAAAAAAAAAAAGTGAGATAAATGTTTGTTCATTACTTTCCACATTTTATAAAAAATTTAAACAATAAATGTAATTCAGAAAGGCATATCCCATAGATGTTAAGTGCCTGAGACTTAGAGTTGGGCAGATTTTTGTGAATGTTGTAAGTTTAGAACATAAATCTCACTCAAGATTGCTTTACTTATTCAGGGTCTTTTGTGGTTCCAAAAAATAAAATATTTAGGATTTTTTTTTTATGTTTGTAATTTCTGTGGGGGAAAAATTTAGAATCTTGATAGGGATTTCCTTGTATGTATTTTCTGTCATTCCACAGTTGTCCTCTCATTCTTTTAACAGTGCCTTTTAAACAAAAAAGTTCTTCATTCTTGTGAAGTCCAAATTATCAGTGCCTAGCTCAGTGGGCATGTGAAGATGAAGGGAGACAACAGAGAGAAAACATGCAACACAGTGATTAGCATATATAGTAAGTGTTTAGTAAATGTTAATCTTTGTTGATTTTATTGAAGGAAAAATGGCTTACATAATTAAGACTAGTTGTCATCTTAAATACCTCAGTTCCTTACAATTTTTTATTATGAGCCATGTGAACAGAAATTGATGATCTGAATTTGAACATTTATCCATTGTTAGCAAGAATATAATTTGGTACAATCTCTTTAAAGAGCAATTTGATTAAAACCTAGTAAAGCTGACAATGTACACTGCCTCTCTAAGTAATTCCACACATAAACCATGGAGTCTCATTTATATATACATATGCAGGATTAAAAGAAAATAGATTAATGGAGCAGAGAAAAGAGAATTTGCCTGGGGTAGATAGCAGAAGCCCAGGAAGATCTGGATGTTGTGGCTACTGTGAGCATGGTCGGGATTCCCGTGGCTCCTCCAGCCCTGGGGAGGATCTTCCTCCTTTCTTCTTCTTCAGCTGTGGAAGCTGGAGGAGGTGAACCTGACTGGTCTCTCTGCCCCAAACCTGCCAGGGAACCAATTTGGTGGCGGACAAGTCCCCACTGGGACAGTAATACTCTTTTCGAAGATTTGCAGTGGGAGTAGGGCCAGAGGGCCAGCTTGCTGGATATTATTGGGCACATATTCTGTTTTCTATATCAGATCTGTTAAACTGGAAAAACTCAATCTCTTCTTTTTAAAAAATGTATCTTTATTGTTGAAAGTATTACAGATGTCCCCCCTTTTTCTCCCATTGACCCCCTCCACCTTGCTCCACCCCCCACCCCACCCCCAGGCCAGTATACCACAGCAAAGTTGATTAGGTTCAAGCAATAGGTACAGCAAGTCTTCTCTAAAAACTTAATATGCAAATGTATTTGAGATTTTCTCCAAGAAGGACATATTATTTTCCAAAGTTGTATTCCCAGGGATCATATGCTGGGAGAGGTGGGGAATAGTTCATAGCACTAATATTTGAAGAACACATTTTGGGAAATGCTGGATTAAATAATTATAGTTAATGTTATTAAATTGGTATGTCATACTGTTTGCCTTCTTCTGTCACCACTCTAAGCGTTTTTGTAATCTTAATACCAGTTCCATGTGATAGGTTCTATTTTTACAGATAAGAAGCCTGAGGCACAAGGGAAGTTAAGCAAGTTCACTAAAGTTGAACAAGTACAGAGTGGGGGTGTTTGACTTTGCATCCAGGCAAAGCACGATGCTTAACCTGTGTGAAATACAACCTCCATGGTCTCTTTAAATTCTGAATACTATGGCTCTTCCATGACCCTTATGTTCTATATTCTGCAATATGTGAAAGGACTGTTCCAACATCAAATAGGAAGAATGTTGTTCTTTCTTTTGACTTGTTACATAATATCACTTAATCTCATCACCTACATTTCTGCCTTTGAATTAAATCTTCAGTGTCTCTCAAAGTTAGAAGATAGGTTTCCACTTCCTTTCTATTAAAAACTGCTTAAATGTGCTCTTATTTGTAAGTGTCCTAGATAATTTAACAAAATGAACAAATTTTCCCTTGTTTCTTTTTTTTTCTTCTTTATTGATTTTCAAGGGAGAGGAAAGGAGAGGAAGAGAGAGATAGAAACATCAATGAGAGAGAACACTGATTGGCCGCCTACTGCATGCCCCCACAGGGGATGGGGCCCACAACCTGGGCATGTGCCCTGACTGGGAATCGAACTGGTGACCTCTTGGTGCATGGGTTGACGCTCAACCACTGAGCCACACCGGCTAGGCAAATTTTCCCTTGTTTCTAATTTCATTAGGAATAAATGTTTCCTATTGTCAGAATCCACTCAAAAACCTCAAATTATTGACTAGTTAAAATTGAAGGCCATCTGTGAATCTTGAAATGAAAAGGGACGGAAAAGTGCACAGAGGCATGTCTTATTCTTTGTAAAAATAGAGGCTTATCTGCCACGTGCTCTTTGTTATACTATAGTTTGTCCTCATCAAGAAAAAGCATAATGATTCAATAATGCAAATCATTTTCCATAAAATATGTCTCTGTATATTCCTATATACACCGAGGAAGAAAATTAAGGGGATATGTAGAAAGTTTTCAGAATGTAAAATTTCAAATAATCCTGTGTATTACCACACACTAAAGAGAATAAATTATTACAGTTATAAAAAGCATTAACATCAGTTCTGTGATTGAGTTTCGTGTTCCTGTAGAACACTTGGGGAAGCCTGAGGATTGCTGTAGCTCACACCTGATCTTAATTCAAACATTGATAAGTAAATAAACCAGCCTAAGTAGTCAGGCATTCCGCATCAAGGAGACACTCACGGGACTGAGAGTTCTTGCTTTATAAATAAATCCTAAGCAAATAAATCTTGGGTTCCGTGTAATACGCCTTTAACTTGCAGTATGCGGTATTTATTGAGCGCCTAGGATATGCCCATCTCTGACAGTGCAGGGAAGAAAACACCAACCCTGTTACTATGGAGATGACACTAATGGAAGACACTTTAATGTATTTAACTGCCCAACTACCCAAAAAAGATAATCTCGTCACGTAATTTAAATTTATGAAATCGGTCTTGGACAAAAAGATGGGGATACGTCACCTTGGGCCAGCTGCACAAAACTCACCGGCTCCAGGCGGGGACCAAGGCAACCCAGGCGCCCCGGCGCTGCGTAGCTCCGAGCGGCGCGCCGCTGTGACGCATGGCCCCGCCCCCTGCTCCCTTCATAGCGCCCCCGCCCCTTCCAGCGCAGTGCGCAGGCTCCTCCGCCCGGCTCCGGTTCTCTTAGAGATGCAGCCGAGCCCGCGACGCTACCTCCCCGCGAGCTTCTGAGGGGACCTCCAGGCCTTGTTCTTCTGCAGTGGCCGCGCCTCCGCCGCCCTTGCGCTCCGGAGCAGGGCGCTGCAGCCGCAGTCCCAGGCGTGGTGTTTGGCAACCAGAAGCCCCAGGGTGCTCGAAGCGTGCAGCCCCTCGCCCGGCCCGGCGAGCCCCGGGTGTAAACCGAGCTGACGGAGGATGGCAGCCTCAGGGGTGGAGAAAAGCTGCAAGAAGAAGACCGAGAAGAAACTTGCTGCTCGAGAAGAAGCTAAATTGTTGGCGGGCTTCATGGGTGTCATGAATAACATGCGGAAACAGGTACCGCCTGTGTGGGAGTGGCGGACGGCTGGGGGGAGGTGGTCCGGGACTCCGGCCCCTGGCTCCCGGGGCCGAAATTCGCGCCCTGAGCATCGAGACCCTCTTCTTCTGTCCTCGCCCTCCCTCCCATTTTTGCATGCAAGCAAGGTGCTGTTAGTAGAGGGTCGCTTTAAACTGCTATAGAGCAAAAGTGCCTCCTCGTCTACCGATGCTGTGGCTCCCAGGTCAGACTCGTGGGAGACTCTCGGGCTGGCATTCGGCGTCGGGTATCGGTTGTATAATAGCTCTGCCCTAGTTACGCTTTGTGAGGCGAGGATCCCTCCATTGGCGAGCCGTGTAAGGTGTCGGGAGATCTTGTGCGAAGGAGCCCATTGGCACAGCCCAACCAGAAGCCCCCAAAGAGGAGAGAAGCGTTGCTTGGCCTGAAATCAGCTCCTCTCAAATAAGTATCCCCGCCCCCTTCTGTGATGCCCGGGTGGAGCTAGTTGCGGTACATGTTAATTTAGAGCAGAAACCGTCATCGGTAAACGCGGTGCAGTCTTTTAAGGGCACTCTGCGCCTCTGCTGTGATAACGAGCCCTTTGTTCTATCTTGGGTATGTGGCGCATTAATGAAAGTCTTCACGCCGTCGGCGAAAGGTGGGTTATGAAAAGAACCGATTTTAATACCCCGGAGAATGTGGCTTAGAGAGGTTTTATTTATTTATTTTCAAATTCCATAACATCTTGTTCCAATAAAGCATCAGAAAGGTCACTTAGTTACGTTCTGATTCTGTAAACCTGATTTATAGAAAATAACAAGTCTCAGGAGATTTGTGGGAATGCTTCGGTTTTGTGACACTGGTCCTGTTTTTCAAGAGGACAAAAGCAGGTTGTATGAGTAGCTGCCAAGCCTAATTTGCTTATATAGTGGTTCTGATGGGAATGTGGATGACAGTAGAGGGATTTAAGATCTTTTATGAAGAGATTAACTTTGGCTTCTTTAAGGGAATTCTGACTGATGGGATCTTGTCTTTGTTCATCCGCTCCTGGCATGGTGCATGAATGCAGTAGATATCTGTGGGAACGCCTTTAAATCTTTCCTGGCCTTTGTGTTGAAATAGCGATGAATGTCTGAATTCAGTATTTTATGTAACTTACTTTTATATATCTATTTTTATGTATACATTCATGTTGCTTTCATGTGAACCTTTTTATATATACAGCACCACTGACTTCAAATTACTAGTGCATTTAACTAGTGTCTGCCTGTAAATGGTATTTGGACACAGTTCACCAGTGCTCAAATTTGTTTCCACCAACCTTCCCAAACTCCCTCAAATAATGTGATTTCATCCATGGAGTATAGCATTGTAAAGCATTGCCTCATTTCTTGCATAGGCAAGGTGCAACTGGGTTGCAGCATCAAATGTTTACTTGGGGGGGGGGTGTCTGAGACTGTACAATTTAGTTCTTTAGGTTTAATAATTGACTTATATCCATTTCTTATATTTAGCTTTAGACTATATTAACATCTATTTACTGTCAAAATAGAAATACGGTTACTGAAAAATCAAGATTCTGTACTGAGTAGGAAGGGAAAATGGATGCTGGGTGGCATCTCTTCCATGATGGTTAACTGACCTTAATCTGTTGGATCTTCCTTTTGTCAGTTGTTTTGCATGTAAGTCCAGCAGTTCTCCAGTAGCACTTTTACCAAGTTCATGGAATCTTGCATCTTGTGTAAGATGTATAGGTTCACTTTGCAGTTGATTTACATTATACTTGTATTGTTCTGCTTACAATCATAACACTGGAGAGACTCACCAAGGATGACTGACAAAGGCAGTTGAGGGGAACTGGCAGAAAGGGGAGCTGGTCTGAGCCAGAGAAGGAATATTTGAGTGAAGACCGATTTTATAAGTGTTCTTGTTCTTTCGTGAATACTTTTGTGTTATGACTATTTTTGCTTCCCCTTATGACCTCATTACTTTGGGGATCAGGATGATGAATACCTGAATGACAAAGATTCCTTTATGTACACCCAGAAACATTTCTACAAGAATTTGAGAACACTGAAATTAGAAAACCTGAATTCCAATCCCTGTTCTACCATTAATTAGTTTTGTGATTTTTTTTGTTTTAATCCTCACCCAAAGATATTTCTCCATTTATTTTCAGACAGAGTGGGGAGAAAGAGAGAAAGAAACATCGATGTAAGAGAGATACATTGGTTGCCGTACGCACAACCCAACCAGGGCTGGGGACCAAACCGAAACCCAAAATATGTGCCCTTGACCGGAATTGAACCCTTGACTCTCGGTCTGTGGGCTGATGCTCTAACTGCTGAGTCAAACTGGCCAGGGCTAGTTTTGTGGTTTTTAAATAATATGATTTAGGTCATTTCATCTCTCTGTAACATAGTAGCCAATCCTAAACATAGTGGTGAAAGGGGGTTCTGCAGAACCAGCAGCCTCAGCTTCTTTTTTTTGATTTGCCTCATTTTCTTATGGAGCCTTCCCTCCAGCACCCTTTTCGTCATTTCTAGCCTTTTGTTTTTAAGTACATTTTCCAATGAAGTAGAGGATTGAAGTAAAAGGATACAAATCAAAAATGTGCAGCTCAGTGAATTGTTATAAAGTGACCACACCACTAACAACAGGAAATAGAACATGACTAATATACCAGAGGCCCCTCCTTATGCCCTTCCCAGTCACTCTCCCTCAGAGGTAACCATTGTTCTTCTATCACCATAGAAAAAACTTTTTTTGAACTTATATAAATGAAATCATACAGTAAATACTCTTGTGTCTTAGTTTGTTAAAGATGACAGTAGGTTTGTTATCTATGTTGTTGTATATAACTCTAGTTCATCCTTATTGTATATAGTATTCATTGTATAAAAACACCACAATTTATTCATTCTATCATTATGGACATCTGGATCATTTCCAGTTTGGGACTATTAAGAATAGTACTACTTTGAACAGTTTTGCACATTTTGTACGTCTTTTGATGTGTGCATGTATGCATTTCTTTTGGGGAATACCTAAGTGTAGAATTGTTGAGTTATAGGTTATGCTGCATAAAGCTTTACTAGTGTCATGGTTTCCAAAGTTTTGCCAGTTTACATTTCTGCCAGGTGTGTGTGAGAGGCTTTTGCTCTACATCCTTGTCAATACTTACTATTCTCAGTCTTTATAATGTTAGCAATTCTAGGGGGTGTATAGTGGCATCTTATTTAATTAGGTTACACACCTTTTCACTTATTTTCATAACTTTTTGTTTATATTAGTTGTATTGCTTGATGCACTAGTAAGGGGCTCTACAAAGCAGAGCTGTGTCATAGTCACTACTGAACATATCCGGTTGTTCCTATTGTGTTAATGAAGTCCAGAAGACCCTTAAAGTTGAGTACCACTATAGTTTCCTCATGTTAAATGGATTCAAGCATAACTGGAATTAAAAAGCTTATGTTAAAACCCTATTAAAAGTTATATGAGAGAACCACAAGGCTGATTTGTGCATTGGATACTAGGCAGTCATCTGGGCTCACTAACTAAAATGGCTCAACTTCTGTACACTCACCTCTCCAAGACTGTAAACTACTACATATCATTAATTTTTAGGGTCTCTTGTGAAACACTTCTTAAGCACTTATTCTCTACCAGCCATTCTGAAAAGTGTTTTACATGCTTTGTCTTATTTTATTCTCATAACAACTGCCATTGACAACTCCCATCATCATCCAGACCTTCCTATTCTTTTTTTTTTTAATCCTCACTCAAGGATATTTCCACATTTATCTTCAGACAGAGTAGTGGCGGGGAGAGAGAGAAAAACATCGACATGAGAGAGACACATCGACTGGCTGCCATCTGCACAACCCAACTGTGGCCGGGGACAAACTGCAACCAAGATAGGTGCCCTTGGCTGGAATCAAATCCGAGACTCCCTGGTCCGCAGGCCGATGCTCTAACTGCTGAGCCAAACTGGCCAGGGCCAGATCTTTCTATTCTATTCTTGACTTTCTTTTGTCTTCTCTTTTTGTCTGTCCAGTTTAGGAGACCCTCCCCCCCTCTTCAATACCTCAAGCTTTCTGGACTCTCTGTCCTTTTTTCACATCCATCTGGCAAAAAGCATTTGTGACTATTTACCTTCTTTGTACAAGGCTTTCAACCAGAACTTGGAAAATGTCCCATTACTAGGAAATCCTCTGCCTGGTTAGTCCTAACTTCACCTGGGCTGTGGGTACTGGTGAGCAATCCTACTTTCCATTTATTTTACTCTTTCTCTAACTTGAGTTCTTTCTCTGTATCCTCACTTTCACTGTCATCACAAACAAATAGAAAGAATTAGTCTGGAACTATCTAACTTTTAACTTCCCACTACCAAATCTATAAACCTATTTTGACACTTTCTTTTTTCTCTTTGTATTCTGCTACAATGGAGAAGCTGCCTCTTCCATCTGAGGCCAGTACTTTTATCTGGGCTTTGACTTCCTCCATACTACCCTGGTCAGACAACTTATACTGTTGGTTATTCTACCTCTGTTGAGCATCTTTAACTTCTTTGTTGGATTCTCACCATCAGCATTTAGGCATGTTTTAATCTCTACAGCTTTTAAACCAACCAGCAAACCAGTCCTCCCATTCTTAGTCTCAACATTCTATAAAAAATACCTCTCTTTCCCTCGTTAAAACCAAAATGTGGGCAGATTCACTGCCTCGTTTAGCTCACTATTTATTCTCCTGTCTCAGTTTGGCTTGCTAGTTCATCCATTCAGATTAATATTTATTTATTTTTAATTGATTTTGAGAGAGAGAGAGACAGGAAGGGAGGGAGAGAGAGAAAAAGAAACATCGATGTGAGAGAAAAACATTGATCAGTTGCCTCTCACACATATCCAGACCAGGGACTGAAACCACAGCCTGGGCATGTACCCTGACTGGAAATCCAACCGGCAACCTTTCAGTGCTGGGTCAGTGGTCAACCAACTGAGCCATGCTGGCCAGGGCACAG